ATCTTGTGTGATACCTTTGAGAAGCAAATGCGTATTTTGAGAGATTTAAATTTTTTTTTGTCATAAGCTTTTATTATTTCTAGATCTGAACTTTCCGAAACCTTGAAACTGATGAAATTGCAGGCATCTTCCTTCACTGAAAGTTTAGATATAATTTGTAGAAGCAGATTTTTATATGTAGACTAAAGCAACTAGAATCAGGGCATTGTGTCCAGTATATACCATTTATCTCCAAGAGCTGTGATTTCCCTGCCAGGAAGCTTGGTTGGGATGCTAAACAAGGTGAAAGCCATCTGGACTCTATGTTGCGGGGAGAACTTATGACTGCCTTAGCTGTGTTTGGACATGATCCAACTATAGATGAAGCAATAAGGCGATTCCAAGCATTCTTGGACGACCGAAATACACCACTCCTGCCTCCTGATGTTAGAAGGGTAAGAGAAATAAAACCAATGTATCTTTTCTTATTTCTGGCTTCTGGAACACGTGAAGCTTATTAATGCTAGTGTTTGGTTACAGGCAGCATATGTAGCTGTAATGCAGAGGGTTAACACTTCTAACAAGTGGGGTTTTGAATCTCTACTGAAAGTATACAGAGAAACTGATTTGAGCCAGGAGAAAACACGCATTCTAGGTAACTGTTCCTGCTTTCCGATGTCAGTATTTGAGATATCTCAGTCTGTCCATTGCTTCTTTCCACTGATACACTGCTTGTATTGCAGGATCATTATCATCTTGTCCCGATCCTAATATAGTTTTGGAAGTTCTGAACTTCTTGTTAACACCTGAGGTATGAGTTTGACATGCTCCGGATCTTTCCCCCAATGAAATATCAATATTTGATCAAAGAGTGAGAAAGAAAGACTTGCTGATTCTGCTGCATTCTTGATCTTTTGCTTTTTGTTTCCTGCTTTCTGTTTAAACTAGGTTCGCAGCCAGGATGTTGTTTTCGGACTTGCTGTTAGCAAGGAAGGACGGGAAACAGCTTGGGAGTGGCTGAAGGTATTTAGTATGACCAACAAGCAAGCACATGAAGAGAGCTCCGCGGCTTAATCAATAATTCAATGACTAAATTCTCATGGCTTCTCCATCATCTTTTTATATTTACTCATTCTGCCTTCCTACTGTAATGCAGGAGAACTGGGAGCACATCTCCAAAACCTGGGGTTCAGGTTTTTTATTGACTCGCTTTGTCTCTGCTATCGTCTCACCGGTAATGGGCACTGTCTTGTCGTTTTTGTTTATTTGTGGTATAATGCTTCACTAATTGGCACCAGATGAACTTTCTTCTTTTGTGCCTGGGTGGTATGTACAGTTTGCTTCCTTCGACAAGGCAAAGGAGGTGGAGGAGTTTTTTAGTACTCGTACAAGGCCTTCCATAGCTAGAACATTGAAGCAAAGCATCGAACGGGTCCATATCAAAGCGAAATGGGCGGAGAGCATAAGGAATGAGAAACAACTTGCGGAGGCTGTGACAGAATTGGCCTACAGGAAATACTAAAGGTGTTTGTGCTTTGTTGTGTCTGCGGACTTCAACTCTTGCTCGCTTTACATGAGGACAAACTCCCGCATCAATTGTCAATTGTTTTCACTGCAAAAGTTTCGGATTAAATACTCTCAGATGATATGCTTTATTTTGTATGACTGCTATGATGTTGTGTTCCGCACTCCGAGGGTTGGTACTAGGGGTGCAAACGAGCCGAATTGAGTTTTTGCTTAACTTGAGCTCGGCTCGTTTATAAATTTTTTACTTCGAGCTCGGCTCGAACTCGAATTTTCATCATCCAACTCGAGCTCGACTCGATTAAAAATAATCAAGCTCGAGCTCGGTTCGATAAAGCTCGGTAAATGCTCATTAACACAGCTTGTCAAACTGAGTACAAGCTCGGCTCAAGATAAGCTCGATTTGAAACCATTCTTGCTGAAAAATGTGTACAAATAAGAACATAAGAAATTAAAAATAATAAAAAGAACACTAAAAACTAAAAATAACCTCTAACTTCCATACACATCCTTATTAACAAGATAATTTTCATGTTCAGAAGAGTAATTAATCATTCCTGTTGGGGGTGTTACTAAATACGAGCGCACAATCGGCGATGCGCGATACGCGCTACAGGTATAAAAGGGATTGAAGCCCTCCAAAGGAGGGGACTGCTCCTCTCTCCTCATTTTCCACTTTCTACTATCTCTCTACACTTTATCTCTCTATCCATTCTCTCAACTCTCACCTGAAACTGAAACTAACTTGATCGTCGGAGCTTAATCTGGGGGGCATCCCCGCCTCTTTCACAGGTTCTTTCCCTCCCCCACGAGATCAGACGAACGGATCGTGAGTCAACCCCACACCAACAAATATCATTGTTCATACCGGAGCTAGTAGGTACAAACAATTGGCGCCCACCGTGAGGCTGATTTGGTGATTCGTTCGTTCGGTCTCAGCAAAAATGAGGAAATCTTTCTAAAAAAAAATGATGAGAAATCTCTGCAAACTGAGAGTCATTGAAGCTCGACAGAAAAGAGAAAGAAGAAAAGTTCCAGATCGGGCGACCTTTGGGGGCATCAACAGAAACGAACGGGCGGGCCAATAGAAACGAGTAATCTTCTCCTTTCTTGCTCGAGTAAGAAAAGGCAGAGGAAAGAGTTTCCAAATCTGGGAACTTTTGGTAAAAAAAAAAAAAAATCCCCTCCCAAACCACTACAAGCAGCTGCATCGGAAAAAGAAAGATGGGTGAAGAAGATCTTATGATGAATTCGTCATCAACTAAAGAAAGAAGAAAAAATATAGTCGGATTTCCGGCGACATTTTTTACCGGGGCCGGTACCGGGTCTCCGAAGAACAAGGGAGAAGTCTTGCGCAGTCTCCATCAGCTTGTCAAGTCGTATTTCAACTTTTCCCCCGAGAATGCATTACCATTACCTACACACCTACACTCTTTGTCAGCAAAAGCAAAGGGCACATAAATCGAGAAACACGCAAATCGAGGCAAACAGATGAAGTTATGGAGCGGAGGCACTCCTCGCGCGCGACAGGGTTCTCCGTCCGCGCTGACCGCCGCGCAACTAGAAAAGTCTTCCGCCATTGTCAAATCGGAAAAGCGAAATCATACAAGCCCAAATGAGGTGTTGCCGCCAAAAGATGAATAGACCATCGAGGGAGCTCTGTCGCCGGGTCAAATTCAAGACGCCAAAACAGCAAGCGGCAGCGTCGCGCCCTGTTCCTGCTCTCGTCAACGGCATCAGCGTGCTTCCGATTTCTTATTCTCGTGTCGCGCAAGTACTCTGCTCTGCCAATTCGGACACTCCTTGCAGGCACAGAACTTGATCCGGATCACTGCGTCCTCTGCCGAAGTTAAGAAATCCGCCCTGCAATTGCTCTCAGCGTAGATTCAAACTAAGCGCACAAAAGCTTTGCCGCAGCACCCGGAAGGGCGTCTTAAATCTCCGCCAGCAAAGGCCACCACATCATTAGTCGCCGCCCAACCGTTCACCTCCGCCGGTAAGGTGGTAACGGCCGCCACACCTAGACATCGGGAGAAGAAAACTCTAGTGCAGGGGCGTAAAGAGAGGAAAGAAGGAAAGAAAAAAAAAAAAAAAAAACAACAGCGAAGGGCCAAAAACACAGCAGCGAAGGCCCAAATTCTCCGTTCCGCGCGGCCCAACATCACCCCGCCAGCCCGCTTCGGCGCCCCAGCCCAACCAAGCCCACAGGCGCGCGGCCCACGTCCTCCCTTCTGATCCGCCACTCCAGCCCGCCCCGCTTAACTGTCCCGCTCGTCCTTCCGCGTGCAGCCCCACACAGAGCCCGCTCAGGCCTTCCGCGCGTGCAAAGCCAGCCCAAACTTCCGCTAGCGGCCCGCCTTACCTCACCCGGCCCGGCTCCAAGGCGAAGCCTTCTCACGTCGGATTCTACTCACGGCCCGCGCCATGCTCCGCTCAAAAATAATATTGCGGCCGCTAGTACTCGAACCAGCGCCAACTCTCCACCAAAGGTGCAAGTTAACCAGCGGACTAAAGCTAAGTACTCTATCCCTCTATCATTATTAAATATTGAAATATTTTACTTTCATGAGCGTTAATGGCGCTAATGGGGGTCAAGACGCAAGAAGCTGGCACCGCGTCAATCAAACGCGCCACCAGCTGGGGGGCAATTGGGGCACATAGGGCTCCATCCAAAATTACCGACGAAGATTTAAAAAAAAATAAATAATAATAAGCTAGTGATGAGTTAAGACTCACCACCAGCTTGGGGGGCAATTGTTGGGGGTGTTACTAAATACGAGCGCACAATCGGCGATGCGCGATACGCGCTACAGGTATATAAGGGATTGAAGCCCTCCAAAGGAGGGGACAGCTCCTCTCTCCTCATTTTCCACTTTCTACTATCTCTCAACACTTTATCTCTCTATCTATTCTCTCAACTCTCTCCTGAAACTGAAACTAACTTGATCGTCGGAGCTTAATCCGGGGGGCATCCCCGCCTCTTTCACAGGTTCTTTCCCTCCCGACGAGATCAGACGAACGGATCGTGAGTCAACCCCACACCAACAAATATCATTGTTCATACCGGAGCTAGTAGGTACAAACAATTCCACAAGCTTTAAACAAGTCAACTTGCGAGCTTAGCTCAACAAGCCACCGAGTCAAGCTAGCTCACGAGCTTATCAAGTCGAGCATGGCCTAGCTCAAGCTTGGCTCGTTTACTAACGAGCCAGCTCGCGAGCCGGCTTGTTAAACGAGTCGAGTGTCGAACGAGTTTTTTCCGATTTTACCGTCGAGTTGCTCGTAAGCTGCTTGGCTCATTTGCAGCAATAGTTGATACCAGACAAACGGATGGTTACGGATGCCAAGCAATCCTTTTAGAACAGTTCCCTGGTATTTCGCTGGAAGAACAGTTCTTGGAAGTTCCAAACTATGTTTGAAGAGGTAGGTACGGTACTACCCAGCGAAATGCAATTTACATAGCAAGTTAGCAGCGATCAATTTGCTAAACTTGGTCATATACTTGTAAATACACATAGTAAAGGCATCAAAAGTAAACAGGTTGTGAAGGTTATACACACACGTCAACAGAGCAGACAGGTGGTTGTTTTCCAATTATAATGAGATCAGACAAGTGGTAACGACACCCTCGCTGGGCCAGTTCAACCCGGAGGCATACAATACAATACAAAATGAATACAAACTAATTAAATGTCAAAGGAACTATAGCACGCGCAGCTCTCATCCCCCCTACAGTAATAATATGCCTGCCTTCCTGCACTCCTACTCCCATATATAATGTACCATTTACACAAAGAAGAAAGCCAAAAGCTCACTCACAAGTCTCCAAAGTGTTTGCCTCTGCCTTCTGCCTGCAAACGCCCACAAGTCGGACAAAAACAGATGGGCAAAACAATAAGGACCACCACCAACCATGTTATAGAACAAGTCTCCTTCCATCTAAGGAGCTGAGCTTGACCGAGTGAGATTCTTGTGCCAATGTCACGTTTTCGTCTTGAACTTCCTTTGAGCTTTCAGATCCACCACAATCACCGTGATATTGTCCTTGCTACCTTTCTGAATAGCCCTGTTTGACAGGTACTCTGCTGCTGCCTGAGACGCAAGATCAACCCCCTCCGGCCCTTTCACTGAAGGAGAGGAGGAAGGTGCAGCACCAGCTACCTGACCATTCTTCTTGTGCCAGACGAGAATTCTTCTCCGAGCGAGATCACAAGCTTCCTCATTTGACATTACGTCCCATAAACCATCACTTGCCAGAATAAGGCATTCATCCTCTTTGGCTCGTGGAATGAACATTACTTCTGGTTCAGGAATAATCCATGGTTTCAGATATCTATCACCTGCAACACCAATTCCAGATTGATCAAGTTCAGTGTTTGAGCCCTCTGCTCAACCAATGTAACCCTAAAATACACGGAAATAGCAGAATAGAAAAGATTTCCCCCCACAGAGATGAGATGAGTGAAAATGTGCACATTCTGATTGAAACTGACAACAACAACCAGCAGGTTTAACCTATAAGTTCATTTTGGAATTGGGAGTGTTTCTGCTACAACAAATCACTGTCAGTGTCAAACCAAACAGGTTTGTTAATAACATCTCTAATTATATGCAGTTTAAGCAGTTACAGGTTTCACAGTACAAGATATTTGTAAGTTTCACGAGGAAGTGTTTCTATTGTTTCAAAAATAACAGAGCTATAATTGGTCAAATGCTCTGGCTAGTAACAGATGCTGCACTAACTAACTTTTAACTGGTAATCTAGATAGCCGTTGGCTGTTACATCAAGGGATTGAAAGGCTTTGACAACCAAAAAAAGGACAAGAAATGAAATTCAGTGTCAAGAAGAGCATACCAATGGACCTCGACATTGCAAGAACACCAAAGACACGATGCCCATTCCATTGTATGACCTTGCCTCCAGCTGCTTCTATCCTTGCATATTCATCTTCTCTATTTGGCTGAAATAATCATAAGACAAACCAACCAACTAAAAAGATGAGCTTCAACAAGTCAAGTAACTATAGACAGCTTCACAGGAGTTTTATGGTACTATTTTGCAGGTTTCTTCTCACTTTATGATCCACTGATAATGCAATAGGTTCTTTCCCACGACACAGGACAGCTCTTGAATCTCCACAATTAGCTACTATGATATGGGAGGAGCAAATAACAGAGACAACGGCAGTAGAACCAACAGTTTCTGGTGCAACTGGTTCATCAGCATTGCCTTCTGTTCCACCAATTTCAGCATCAACCTTTAAAAAACAATTGCTGAAAGCTTTTCTCCACTGCTCTTGGCAACCATCAGTCACACAACAACAATTCTCAACAAACCCAATCTCCTCAGCCAATGCAGTATGGACACGTTCACGACAGTAGTTTGCAACCTGCAGGGGCAAACCCCCCAAAAGCTTGCTTTAACTTTGACAATAGGAAATAATGGCATGCCAAGGACGCAAGGAAACATTTTAATGAAGGAAAAAAATTAGAGATATAAGTAGAAGACATGTGCCTACCTGCGACCCTCCATGACCATCATAGACTCCAAAAAAATGAGCAGTCTGATGGGTTATACACTTGCTCATGCCATCCAGCAATTGGTTACCAATTAGCATTTGGATAGGTATTTTCAGAAACTGAGGGACAGTTGCTACTGCATCCTCCATCTCCGGTCTTCTTCCACACACAGATGTAAAACCCCAGAGGGGAACATAGTCCAACTCAAAGACACTACGAGCAATGGCTGCTCCACGAGCCTCTTTCTCCAGTGCCAACTGAATTACAACAGAAGGAACAGGCTTTGAATTTGAACAAGATGTAGTAATAACTTCTTCTGCATGGCTCACTGCAACAGATAGGGAATTTCGAGACACAATACTTGACTCTTCCAAATCTGTGGCAGTATAGCTAATATCAACACCACAGATGCTCTGGTCAATAACCTCTATTGAACTACTACTTGTTCCAAACTCAGAGTTGGCCTCAAAATTCAAGAATTCTTCCCCAAATAAGCTACTAGTCTCACTAGTTACCGAGAGGGAACAAGAACTAACAAGTTCAAGATTCTGATCACCTTCTAGCGACAAGGAATCATCTTCTTCACCATCTTCAATTCCAGAGACCCAATTGCTCTTGTCCTCCTCCTCAGATATCATATCCAACAAGCCCTCCCCACCTCCTCCCTCCGCTTGCTTTGGAACCAACACTACTCCGTCAACAACTTCTTTAGCCAAGTCACCACAATTATAGTTGTTATCCCTAACAAAAGTAGAGACTTCGGTTTCAGGACGATCAGGTTGTTGTTTAGCTGCTTCAGCCATACACTTCCTCTGCCTTGAGATATCCAAGTGGGTCTCCAAACTTGTGTTTTCGAAGGCTAAATTAGCTACTGTAAGTGGCACTAACACCGCCGTATAGATCCCCTCCATCAAAAGCCCTATCCAGCAGCAAGTACAGATAGTTACCTCTCAGGCCGAGTGAAATCATCATTATTTTCTTTTATTGAACCAAAATAGCTACTCCAATTACCGAGAATGATTCCAGAATGTGAATGGTGGTGGATTTCAGCAGACCATTTCCCATGCCTTACCAGAATCAGAAATTGCAGAAAAAGACAAGGCAAGGCAGATCTGGTCAACTAAAATGGAGGGCGAACTTTCCACCTAACAGACCCAGTAGTAGAGGCCTCATCAACTTCTTCTCTGGACTCTTCTCTGTCAACTTCCATCAACAATAAAGGACCAGAGAAAATAGAAACTTGAAATCCACGAGGAAAAGGAATTTACAAAAGAAAGAAATTGCAACTTCCCCAAGAATCAAGAAATCAATCGAAAAAACGGAAGCGACCCATCATCCACAACTTTGAACCCAGATAAATGAACAGATAAAATGGGTCATGAGAAAGGAGAAAGAAAGCACAAGTGAAGTCACAGGAATCACAAGACGACATTTATTAACAAAAAGAGGATGGTATGGTTACCCTTTTCTGACATTATTAACACCATAGTTGCCTGGATCTGAGGCAACCCATCCGAACCTCTTGTCAAAATTTCCCCACTATTGCATATTGCTCGCAAAATCGCTCGTCTCTCTCTCCCTCCCTCTGTCTGTTTCTCTCTCTTCTCTCTCTAATAATTCTGCAACAATTTATCTTGAAAGCAAGAAAGTAACAGCAACTAAAGCAATGGAAGAAGGAAATAGCAATACGGGAAAGAAAAAAGTCCACTCACTATGCCTGCTACCAGTAACCAGATGGGTTGAGTCGGGTTGGGTGAGCCAGGTTTCCCCACCCCCAACTGTCAAAACTCAAAAACTTCCCTTTTTACCTCTCTTTCCCGTTTTCTATACTTTTTTAGTTGCTAAAGGTCGCTCTTAAAATTGCTAAAGTCGCCCTAAAAAATATTAAAGTTACACTTTTAACCCCCCTTAATGTCTTTACCTTCCTTTAGCAAACAAACACCACTTAGACTAAAAAAACACTATTCAAGGAGAGAAAAATTCATCATCGTCATTCTGGAGCCGATATCGTCGGTAGGACGTCTGAATCATGAGTAGCGACTCCAACGAGGTAAAAACATTCACCACAAAAAGAAAAAAAAACACAGAAAATGGGAACCGCGGCTCAGATGCGGTTCGACCATGGTTCAACCGCAGGTCACTTGCGGTTCGACCATGGTCCGACCACATCTCAGTTGCATTTGATACATGGTTGAACCGCAAGTGATCTACGGTTGGACCATGGTTGAACCGCAACTGAGCTGCGGTTGGACCATGGTAGAACCGTAAATGACCTACGGTTGCACCATGGTCCAACCGCAACTGAGTTGCGGTTGAGCGTTTTATGGGTTTTTTTTGTTCAAATCAGTATTGATTAACCCAGTATTCAACTGACATTGTACATCATTGTCATTTTTCATGAATGCTTACATATTAAAAATACAATTAACATATCATCTATCCTCTCTTTTAAACGTAGCCAAAGAGAGAAATTGCATGGTAGGTTACAATTAGTGTTTGCTATCATCCAAACAAATGAAATAAGAAACACATAAAATCCCACCCAAAACGTCCTCTTCCACGTGGACCAAGAGTGAGATGTGGCAGGCTAGCATTTCTCATCAAAGGAAACCCAACTACATACATGTCAGCCATACAATGCTCATTACACTTACACGTAATGTATGAGGTGGGTGTTTTATGTGTTGTGTTTCCTTATAATTATATCAAGTAACCATCCTCCTTTACCCTTGACTTCCACGTGGAAAAGAAGAAGCAAATGTAAGGTGGTAAGTGTTTCTTCATCCCCATTTAATTGGTTGGGAGATGATTTATCTCACTTAAACACACACAATGACAAAAGCTTCCCTTCATTACACATGCATGACAAAAGGCAAGTATATTTTGCCACCTCACTTTCTGGTGCTTTGACAACCAATTTGGAGAAAGTAATTCCCCCTAAATGACACCTAATGGCCACGTGTTCATTGGTGAGAAAAGCAGGTTTGAGTTTAACTCCTCATTAGTCATTATCCCTACCACCAATGAATACACTTGCCAATTTGTAAGTTCATCCACCACCTACCCACTCTAAACCCCAATTGACCAATTCATCTTAACATGGAGATGAAGATGTCTTTGTTTACCATCATCCATTTCACTCTTACACCTGGACGTGAAAAGGTACAAGACAAATAAGTATGTGTTATTTCTTTACCCGACCATCCATTGCACATTGGGTGGTTGGAAGATTGATATATTTTATATTGTTATTTTATTATTAACACACCATCTACGCCAGAAGCAGGAGGCACCTATAAATAGGACGCTCATTTATGCTTTCTGAGAGGGGGATTGGCGGATAAAACTCTGAATCTCTCTCTAGAGCCGGCTTACTATGCCGCTCCCGGTTACTCTCCTCTCAAATACTGACTTGAGCTTCGGAGCAGGTCCCCGCTGACCACCGGCTGGCGGGTTCCTCTTGTTTTGCAGGTGTCCATCTCGGAGGCTGGCGGCGGACGTTGGCCAGGAGGAAGATCGGCGCTCACCGGACCTCAATCACATTGAAGCAGGCTCCTCGGAGCTTGGCATCAACAATTGGCGCCCACCGTGGGGCCCGGTGAGATTGATACCAACAAATCGTTAATCCAGCAAGACGAGGTGGACACACAGGATCTGCAACCCGATCCCGAGATTCGTCAAGATGCAACTCTAAACATCATTCGAGTTGCTATCTCCAAGAATCGAGGATTCCCACGAGATGGAAATGCTGGATCTGCAACCCGAAGAAAGGATTCGTCAAGATGCAACTCCAAACATCAATCAAGTTGATATCTTCAAGAATCGAGGATCCCAACGAGATGGAAATGTAGGATCTGCAACCCGACGAAGGGATTCGTCATGATGCAACTCCAAACATCAATCAAGTTGCTATCTCCAATAATCGAGGATCCCCACGAGATGGACATGCAGGATATGCAAACCGAAGATGGGATTCGTCAAGATGCAACTCCAAACATCAATCAAGTTGCTATCTTCAAGAATCGAGAATCACAACAAGATGGGCATGCAAGATATGCAACCCGAAGAAGGGATTCATCAAGATACAACTCCAAAAATCAATCAATTTGCTATCTCCAAGAATCGAGGATCTCTCTACCAAGATTGAGTTGTGTCAATCTTTGGTGTGGAACTGCGAGCCCTCAACCCCACTAGTTTCTCCGTCAATTAGCCGCGAAATCATAAGATCCTCAAGTCCTCTCATGGAATGGCACCCTGACATCAACAATTGGCACCTATAGTGGGCCTTGATGAAAATTTCCATCAACAATTTGCGCTTGCTATGGAGCCTGGTGAAATTTTTTACAAATTATCATTGTCAACGTCAAACCCGCTAGGAGAGATGGTGGAGAAACCTGATGTCGTGGAATTCACAACGAGGCCGTGGGGGCACCGGTTTAGGTCTGCCTCTCGTAAGACCGACGTTTTACCGAGGAAGCCCATGTGGTCTACTTTTCAAGGGTTCAATTCCCCGCGAATTGCTATTGTGAAAAAAAGATCCACTTTTTCACCCACATCACTCTGCCTCCTCTTCCGAATCCTGAATGGACTAATTTTGCATCATCATCACCAATCTGGGAAGGGAACCTCTTCCCTTCTCATGCTCCAATCGAGAAAAATTCAAGTATGAGAAAGTTTTTGTAAACTCAAAAACTATCTGGTAATCCCTCCTAAACTCTCATTTATACTTGATATCAAAATTCTCCTATGATATTGCATAACCCAAACTATCTGGTAATCCCTCCCAAACTCTCATTTATACTTTCCGCGTGGCTCAGGACGATCAAAACGTGCTTACACACTTGTTCCGGCTGCCACCTCTTCACAAATGTCGACAGTAGAGCCATGTCTAAATGATGCATCATGCACCCTGTCAAGTGAGACAATCCTGTGGCTTCAACCATCTCCTTAGAACCCTCTGCACTCCACTTATATCGCCTCAAAGACTCTACAGCTTTCGGCCTATGGAAGCCGTCCAACACTCCACGGTCATGCTCAGGGGAAGTCCATAGTACAAATCCAATGTGACCTCCAAAGCTAGGGATCACATCGGGAATCACTGGTCCACCTGAACACATCTGAGACTCGGATGTAAGAAACCACAAAATATCTTTCCTCGTGGTCTTCCTCTTCCTATTTCCATCTCCGCCTTCCTCGCTACTAGGTCTGGACGCATAGCGTCCATCGGGCCCACGGAAGTGTGAGGAGGCAGTAGAAGATATCCCGACCCGCGCCGTCTTGCCCACGCCTAAATCAGCTTGAGGTGGGGCATCCCCAACCTCAGCATCACCAGCATCACCGTCATCATCGTCATCCTCGTCAATGGAATCACTCCAATTAGCCTGCCATGCCGGTGCGCCCTCTGGTGTAGGAGTACTGGTAGTACCTCAACTAAGAGACAACTGCCCCATAGTAGGGTGGCCGTCAGGACGCACTACATCCGCTTTCTTCTTCTTCCTTCTAACCTTAGGTGGATTTTTTTTCTTCACTTTCCTTCCTACCAGTCGCCGTAAGTCTACACCGACGACCTTCCATTCTCTCCTTATTTCTCGCCTTAATCATATCCGGTTTACCCATTCCATGTCCAGACATCTTCAAAAAAAAGTTTGAATTATTAATAATGGATTATTAATAATGGAGTACATAAAGTAATTAATTTAATATTTACATAATTAAAATATAAAACTAATAGTTTGAACATTTATGTTACGTTCTATGTACAATTAATCATTATTTACATAAAAGTAAATAATTAATCAAGGTAAAATTATTAATAATTAAGTAGATAAACGAATTACTTTGAAATTTTGATTTTTAAAATGATAAAAATACATTTTTAATTTTTTATAATGTTTTAAATATTTTTTATCATTAATTAACATTTATCGAATACATTTTTTATATTTTTATATCATTATTGACAAAATATATAACTAAATTATTATTAAGTATTTTTTTATAATTTTTATGATTATTAACATTTATCGAATAATAAAAACATAGAATATTAAAAAAAATGTGGTCAAACCGCGGTTAGACCGACGGTCAATCGCGGTCAACCGTTGGTTTAACCGCATTTTGACCGTCGGTCTAACCGCGAGTTGACCGCGGTCATCCGTTGGTCAAACCGCGGTTTGACTACGGTCGACTGCTTACCTTCTTCTCTGAGTCGCGAGCGCGGGCGGCGAGGTGATGGAGACGGCGAAGCGACTGCTGGCGGCGACGTGAGCGAGTGGCGGCGGCGACTGCAGGCGGCGATGTGAGCGCGGGAGACGGAGCGAGCGGCGACTGATCTAGCGACGATGGCGAGTTGCAGAGGTGGCCGGCGGTGAAGGGAGGTGCAGAAGTCGTCGGTGAGTGGGTGAGAGGGAGTTGCAGAGGGGAAGGGGAAGAGTGTTTTAGTTAGGGCTTGTTTGTTTCTTTCAATTTTTAGTTTTTCCTTAAGGGTATATAGGCAATTTGACATTTAAGTTAGGGTGGCCTTTAGCAATTTCAAGGGCGACATTTAGCAGGCCATGTTTTTATTTATGGTTCTACTTGCTTTTTTCGTTGCCCTCGTTTTCTACCATTTTCAGCACAAAAAGGAGGGTCAAATGAATGGATGAGAGATAGAACTAAAGCTGATAATTCTCAATCCAATTCAATCTATCCAGTTAAATGTCCAATTAATTTAGTTCATATGATCATAATTCAATTGAATTTGTGGATTTATGGATTGATCGATGGATCC